TTCTCTACATTGGTGACCCGGACGTCCCAGCATGGAACGTCCAGACGTTCCCCGAGCTGATGCTGGGCTTCCTGCAACCTCCGCTGCGACCGTTGGCGCCTACGCTGTTCGCCGGCCTCCATTCTGGGCACAGCACCCAGAAGTCTGGTTTCTTCAAGTCGAGGGAAGTTTCCGACTGGCCAACATAATATCCCAAGAGGTACGGTTCAGCCATGTCCAGGCTTCGCTGCCGTGCGAAGTGGCGCTGGAGGTCTACGACATCCTCGCACGACCACCTGCGACGAACCCGTACGATGCACTTAAGACTGCCATTTTAGAACGCACAATGCTTTCGGAACGCAAACGCCTGCAGCAGTTAGTCTCAGCAGAAGAACTGGGCGACCGTCGCCCATCGCAACTTCTGCGCCAGGTGCAGGCGCTTCTCGGCGACCGTGCCGCGACGTTCGACAGCCAGTTCTTGAAAGAGCTGTTCTTGCAGCGACTCCCACCGTCGGTGCAAATGATCCTGGCGACTGCATCCGACTTGTCCTTGCCTGCCTTGGCTCTCTACGCCGATAAGATCATGGAGGTTGCAAGCCAACACCCGTCAACATCTACCGTCTCATCAGTACAGCGCCCCGAGCCCGCCACTCCAGCGACTCGCGCGCCCATAGCGGCCGCGGTTACTCGGGATGAAATCGCAGCACTGCGAGAAGACGTGCAACAACTACAGGAGCTTGTCACAAGCACATTGCGCCTTTCATGACATCGCAGCCCTAGGCGATCCTCACAGACCAGAAGCTCCCGCCGTCGTTCTCCCTCGCCACAGGCGAACCACCAGCCAAGGCATAACCAACAGCGGCAAGAGCAACAGCACTGCTGGTATCACCAGCGCTTTGGAGCTGCTGCGGAACGCTGCACCAGGCCTTGCAGCTGGTCGGAAAACAAGACGCGGGATCGCTAGTGGCGACGAGCGCTCCCCCAAATAAGCAAGGTCGCCTGTTCTACATTACGGACGCTACCAGTGGACTGAAGTTCCTGGTCGACACAGGAGCTGAAGTGAGTGTGCTACCCGCAAATTCTTTTGACTGTACACTTACTCCTATCTGCCACCTGCAAGCGGTCAACAGCTCCAACATTCCCGTCTACAGGAAGAGGTCAATCTCGATCAACCTTGGCTTGCGAAGGACGTTTCGTTGGATCTTTCTTGTCCAAGGTCAGTCACGCTATTCTAGGAGCGGATTTCTTGTGCCACTTCTCTCTCCTAGTAGACATGGCCCAAAAGAAAATTCATGACTCAACCACAGGCCTTTTCGTCACCGGCCAAACCTCCACACTCCAGCCGTTTGCTTTCACACTTCGCCAACCAATACAGTCGCCCTACGGGGACTTGCTGAGCGAATTCCCATCGTTAACGGCAGCTCCCGACTGGAACAAACCGGTCAGGCATGATGTCGTCCACCGCATCATCACCAGCGGTCAACCTACACACGCGAGGTCTCGTCGGCTAGCTCCCGAAAAGCTTCGCGTCGCTCAGCAAGAGTTCCAACACATGGTGGAGATCGGCATTGCTCGCCCGTCCTCGAGTAGTTGGTCCTCTGCACTCCACCTAGTCCCGAAGAAAACAGGCGACTGGCGGCCCTGCGGCGACTATCGCAGCTTGAACGTGACTACAGTCCCCGACCGTTACCCCATCCCCAACATTCAGGACTTCACCACCAACCTGAACGGATGTACCATATTCTTGAAACTCGACCTACAGAAAGCGTACCATCAGATCCCGGTCGCTCCCGAAGACGTAAAGAAAACCGCAATCGTCACACCGTTTGGACTTTTCGAGTTCACCCGGATGCCTTTCGGTTTGCGAAATGCCGCGCAAAGCTTCCAACGCTTCATCGACGCCATTCTCCGCGGACTACCTTTCGTTTTCGCCTACGTCGATGACGTTCTTGTCGCCAGCTCGTCGCCGGAGGAACATCTACGCCACCTGCGCCTAGTATTCGAGCGTTTCGCTGAACATGGCCTGATCATCAACGCAGAAAAATGTGCGTTCGGCGTCCCGTCCTTGGAATTCCTGGGCCACGTGGTAGACTCCAATGGCATCCGACCTCTTCCCGACAAGGTGAAAGCGATCACCGATTTCCCACGTCCAGAATCGCTCCGCCAGCTCCGCCGTTTTCTGGGCCTGGCGAATTACTACAGGCGGTTCATCCCAGGTTGCGCGACAATATTACTTCCCCTAGAAGCGCTCCTTCAAACCACGAAGGGTACAACAGCCACGGTTGACTGGTCCGACGCTGCAGACAACGCTTTCACTACCATCAAAGAGCGTCTCGCTTCTGCTACCCTCTTAGTTCATCTAGAGCACGACGCCCCCACGAGCGTGATGGTTGATGCCTCTGGATACGCAGTAGGAGGGGTGCTGCAACAACGCATCAACAACGAGTGGCTCCCGCTTGGTTTCTTCTCCAAGAAACTTACACCAACCGAGCAACGATATAGTGCCTTCGGCCGTGAACTCCTCGCGGCTTACCTTACCATCAAGCACTTCAGATTCTTCCTGGAAGGACGATCGTTCGTGATCTTTACAGATCACAAGCCACTAACCAATGCCTTCAGATCAACTAAGGCCACACACTCTCCGAGAGAGACGCGACACTTGGCATTCCTAGCTGAATTTTCTACCGACATTCAGCATATCAAGGGCGTCCACAACATCCCCGCCGACACCCTCAGCGGCGTCTCCGCAGTTCAGTACCGCGGGTGTGACCTTAGACAACTCCCTGCTCTACAGGAGAGTGACGAAGAGCTCCGCAACCTTCGCTCTTCCCCAACCTCCTCTCTCCATCTTGAGGACGTTTACTTCTCCGACTTGGGCACAAACATTGTTTGCGACGTCGACCCGGTGACCGGACGGAAACGGCCTTATCTGCCCTTACCACTTCGGCGTCAGATCTTCAACAACCTTCATGCTCTCTCACACCCACGCATCCGCGCTTCTCAAAATCTAATCGCGGAACGATTTGTCTGGCCTGGCATGGACACTGATGTCCGCGCGTGGGCACGAGCATGCATTGCTTGTCAGCAGAGTAAGGTATCCCGGCACACCATCGCGCCTCTAGCAAAGTTTGCACTTCCCGACACGCGCTTTGCCAGCATTCACGTGGACCTCATCGGACCCCTACCGTCATCGCAGGGCTACCGGTACCTCCTAACCGTCATCGACAGGTTCACGCGCTGGCCGGAGGCTTGTCCCATTAAAGACATCACTGCCGAGACTGTCGCCTCTGCGCTTCTGTCCATCTGGATCTCCCGCTTTGGGGTTCCCGCCGAAATCGTGACCGATCGCGGACGCCAATTCGAATCGGCCCTTTTCCGAAGCTTGACAACTCTTCTTGGCATCGCTCACTTGAAGACCACAGCCTACCACCCGCAGGCAAATGGTTTGGTTGAGCGGTTCCATCGCCATCTGAAGGCCTCCCTCATGGCCCACTCCACACCAGATAAATGGGCCACGTCTCTACCCATCGTCCTCCTAGGGTTGCGCACAGCCATAAAGGAAGACCTCGGATGTGCCGCATCACATCTAGTTTATGGAACATCGCTGCGCCTCCCAGCTGAATTGGTCAGCCCTACCACTCCGATCCACGGCGGCCCTACGATGACTGCAGGATTGCCTTACGTGGAGGACTTAGCCCGTCTGTTTGGTGACGTGCGCGCTACACCGACACGGACACGCCAGAGCAAGCCTCCTTTCTTCCATCGCGACCTGCACAACAGTGGCTACGTGTTTTTGCGCGTCGACAGCGTCCGCCGTTCGCTCCAGCAACCTTACACTGGTCCCCACCTCGTCGTGGCACGTGGCGAAAAAACATTCACGCTGCGAGTTAATGGCCGCGACACGGTCGTGTCCGTTGACCGCCTCAAGCCAGCATTTGTTGAGAGCGATACGATCGCTCAGCCGACTGATCTTTCCAGCGTGCAAGCCACCTCGAGCTCAACAGTAGCACCCGCGACCCGCATCAAACACTCCAGGACAGTTCACTGGGACGACTCCGTCTCCAAAGGGGGGCTATGGCGATAGCCACTGAGAAAAGAAGAAGATCGCGTGCAAATAAAAAGGAGGAGATCAGTTCGATTTTGGAATGCGTCAGACGTAGTCGCTTTTCGTCTGTCTTTCTCTACATTTGTATAATTAGGATCCGTGCTGTTACCGATTTTTATGTCATTTACGATTTAAATAAAAAAAAATTGGGTGCTGTGTATGTTTTTAGAGCCTAAAATTTGGTCTGCCTCAATGTGCGACCTGTCTCCCAGCTGTAGATGAGAAATTTAGCCAGTGCAGTACAACCACTAGCCTGGGGTCTTTGACGTGCACCACACAGTAGTGAGTGGTACATGACCGCACGCCGGTGCGATGATCATCAAGATCCAAAGGGGCAGGGGTGAGGATTGAGCCCACGAGCGGAGCGTAGGGACAAATTGGAGCTACGCTGGGGAACTCGCCGCCGCCGGGGGGGTCGCAAATATAAGAGGAGGAGTGGGAAACTCGCCGGGGCGGAGTCAAAAGAAGCTCCTCCCCTCCCTCGTGATGTCGCACCGGAGAGATTCCCGCCGAAGGCGAGCTTAGCCCCCCAGGAGTGGATCAGTCAAGTTCACCAGATGATGGTCAGTGCTGCATCATGCTGGAACACTGACTGATGATCTCATGCAATCTTGTACACCTGCAACACACTCAGCAATAAATATGCATAGTGGCCCTCAGGCTGGGGATGCGTATATCAATAACATGGCTGGTTGATATTAATATTTGTTCATAAGCTTTCACTTCTATATTTTTAAACCAACAGTAAAAAAATCTTTTTTCTTTATGCATGACATTTCCAGAACTTCTAGACATCTTCGTGATTTTGCTTTTGCTTGTGCAGATGGTTGCAGGTCAGTATATCGCATATCCATACATTAATGTCCCACCAAGCCATAACAGCCGGGTTAGTTTTCTGCCTTCGCATCGAACTTACTTGGCCTCTCGGTTGAGAGAAAATGGTGGGAACAGCTGTGTTTTTCGGCTTCCTCCAGCCATCATAACATCTTGTCTGGAACTGGGAAGGCTCGAAATGGGCCTGCAATCAAGTCAGTAAGTTACTTTTTGAGCGACGTCACCAATATGAATGCAACAGCTCAAGCATACGAGCGGAGGTAGGTCTGCGCATTGGGAACACGTTTGGATGATTCCATAGTCGATCCATAGTCACATTTATACAAATTAGAACACTTTAGCAACACTTTTTTTACTTTTAATAATAATAATAATAAACTTTTATTAATTGGAATAGACAAATACATATACAGGTCTGCCTAATAGTTGGCGTTGTATTCCCCAGTCAACAAAGTGCACGCATCATCGAAAAACAAAACTAGGGATTAACTTCGACCACCTGAGAATATTTTGAAGGGCGCCTATTCTGCAATAAACCTCCGTCAGATCGCGGGCATCTGGTGATCAGTCGTCCTTCTGCAGTGCAGCAGAAGCGCGCAAGGACGCTACAGCCGGCACCGCAAAAACCTCACCTCGCACAGGTAAGTCGAGTCCAAAGAATTCCACTTCACGCCGCGTTTGATTCGTTCCAGCCACAGCTTTCTTCTCCTCGGCGATTTCGGGAGTTTAAAGACCCGATTTCCCTCGGAGCTGTGGTTTGTACACCCCAGCGCGCAGCAACCGCCCATTTTTTAAACGGGACTACCACCCCTCCACCCCTCCACACACGCTCGCTTCTTCCACCATTTTGCATGACCGTGATAGAAACATCACGGGCACCCTATTTTCAGTCAACCAGAGTTACTCCCACAGTTGTGACTCCAACGCACTTATTAATTTTGCTTCTCTCAAACACCACCAGGGTATTATTCGCGGCCTCTGGTTGGCCACATTCGAATTTGTGGAGACGCCCTGGGACATGCCCAGCCCGCTTTCGGCCAAAGGTGCCTCCTCAATTTTCTGCCATCTATCCATAGAGGATACTAACCATCTATCAGAGTCATCTATCCATCCATCCATGCTCAATCCAGTAATAAACTCCCAATCCAAATCCAAATCCAAGTGCGTGGGTCCATAATTTAATGCAGCGATTCATGTCAGGCTGTTGGGTTCAGGGCTAGATCTTTTAAGTGTGTTGCGTCGCTAACGTCACTGAGGACTATGAGCCATTAAAACGTAAAGCTGGTAAACCAACGCTGAAGACTGCTTCGAGGTAGGATTGTGGGCGTGTGCGTGTGTGCGACTGCGAGTGTACCGAAACTAGGAGCGTTGTGTCGTCCTCCGGGCTCCCACGGGTCCGCCGCCTGGCCGATGTGATCGAGAGTCTTCCCTCAGGCTCTCCAGAGCAAGGTGAGCGTGTTAGTCGGTGTTCCCGACCGCTGCGCCGAGTCCAGCTCGATGTCACAGGTACCGCTCGGTGCTTCGGGTCGATGCCCGAGTTGCCCGACCCAACGCCGGGCATATGCCCTCCCCGCTCGGTGGGTCTGTGGAGCACACGAGCACGCACGTGTGCTTCCTGTAACATTCCTAGTGTCGCGTTAATTGAGTTGAACGTGTGTCAAGGGCTGTCCACCCAGAGCACGACTCTCTCCGATTTCTAGCGGTCATGATTCTGTTTCCTGTAGGAGCGCGTGCAAAGCTTCATTCGGAATTCGCTTTGCCGCTAATCCTCCGCTCTGCCCCTCAACCTCCGCTTTGCGACTAATCCTCCACTTTTCCGCTAATCCTCTGCTCTGCACGCGCACCTATGGTGTGCGAAATCGTATTCGTCAGAAGCAACGTTACTAGATTACCTCAGTTGCGGGACTCCCGCGAAAAGGAATACCCCCCCCCCCCCCCCCCCCCCCCTTCCTCTCAGTCACTTCAGTGCGCCTCCCGTCGTTTGAAGCGCTATATAGATTTTCGTTTCATAACTATGCGTTCCATAAAGCAGAGCTGGAACGCCATCTAGATGCTGTGCTTCGAAACATACATATTCCATAGAATACACTGCAGTTACTAAAGCGGCCGTCCAGCACATCGAACAACGGGAGGTGAGTCTTGGTTAGTGAGGGGGGTAATGCCCGTGCATGTAACGTCTATGAGCAGTTCCGTAACTGAGCTAATCTAATAACATTGGATAGAAGTCTGAGGGAGTCATGCTTTGCGTGGACAACCTTTCGCTCCGCAAGGCCCAACAAATCAAGTCCTGGCGTGGGCCCCTGTTGTATTGCACCACAGTTTTTGGTGGGTGGCAGGTTGTGCAGGTGGTTGGAAACTTAAGTTTTGGTGCAAGGAATTTGGCGTTCTGTCTAACGGCTGAGTAGCGTGCCCCAAGGAGACTACCCGAAGAACGTGGAGCGAGAAGAGTCTCGTGCCAGAAGCAATGCGTGTTTTAACCTTTTTTTTTAGAGAATTTTTATTTGATATTGTTGTGTGCATGGCGAATTGGTAACACACACAAATGCCACACGGAGGAATGGGGTTGAACGTCGCTCGGCCTGGTTATGTTCTTTTATCGATCAATGTTCTTCGGGAAAGTTCCTGTCCATTCTCGGCTGTCGTTCTGGTTCAGGACATTCCTCAATGTACCGCGTGTTATAAGAGCAGTGGTAACTCTCTACTTTGGAACAATCGGTATTCCTTCCTTGCTGCAAGGCACTGGTACTTTTTTTTTTAAGTTGCTATGTGCAAGTTCACCCCATTAAATTATTATTTTCATTCACATTCATCTCCTATTTCTATTTGGGTCAATATCTCGAAGTATTGCAAGTTAAAATAATCTGTAGTGGTAATTTACCTGCTAAAAAGTGAAAAATTCCATTTTCAATATGCAGTTTTTAGTTTCGTTATTAGAAACTTCCTTTCGTTGGTTGCCATGTGAAAGGCGAATAATCCCTGGTATAACCATGAAGTTCTTTCAGAGGCTCTTTTTTACTTCTCTGATGCAACTGGCTGGAGGATGAGATAAGTGGCGCATAAATATAATCCGAGGTATCTCAGGTGCAGTAAACCTGCCGACTCGTCCGCAGCTGCAGGGAAGGAAATCCGCACATTTTGAAGCAGACCGCAGCACCGCTTCTCTCGAGGATTTCGGAGCCCCCGAACAAGCTGCGCTTAGAGTGTCGGCACTGGATTCCCAGATTTTCTTGGAAGCGTCGCCATTTTGTTGTTTAGTGCAGAGTGGGTGCAATTGGTGATTGTTGCATTTAGAAAATGCGACTTCCTCAGCTTTAGATACAGTGCCAGGAAGCTTGGGTGAAGTCATTTTGCTGTATTGTTTCAACATTTCTGGAGGACGAAAAGGTGTTTCTTTCGGTTTTGAGCACTAAGGTGGCTTCGTACAAGCACGCAAGTGCCTTTGTCAGGTGGATTTTTTGTACCTTGATGCAGATTTGGCAATCAGATATTATTATCATCATTAAACATCATTACTCTTAAGGCTGGTTCACACACTAGCGACTGCTTATGACAGGGTGCCTTAAAACCTCTTGTGATCTCTTGCGATGAGACACTGGCGCCACCTATCGGTTTGCCTTGAAACACCCTGCATTTTCGTATATTCCCTATTTTTGTTTTGCATGTCATTAACTCTTTATTAATTCTCTATACTCCATAATACAAACTCTCTACTCGGGGATGGGCAAAACACATGCAAATATGTATCGAAATACAAATACAAAATACTTTGTCAAAAATGTATTTAATTACAAATCTAATTACATTGCCCAAAAAGCATTTAAGTACAAGATACAAATACAACCAAATGCATTTGGTCTCCTCCAAATACTTTTCCAAATACATTCCTCAAAATTTGCGTCAGCGACTTCAGGGCACCTGCAACCGGTTTCTGGGTATCTCATTTTAATTTTGCATCGCACATTCAGGAGTTAGTGTGCGAGGCTCTAGTAACGTAATAGAAATATAATCGCAAAAAAAATGTAATCAGCTTGGACGTAATAGGTGAAAAAAGTACAGAGCTTCAAGCAGCTTTTTTTGTCGATTACATTTTGGTATATACCAACAAAGAACCGAGACGACCAAGAGGCGCAGCACTAGCTAAAGAATTTTTTATTGTTGCAACTCGCAGCAGTTACAGAAATCTGGACGACCCGCGCATTTAGAATCTTCCAGGCAAAAATATGAATGGAAATCAGGCTGGAAAGCATCACAAGTTGTCACAGGCACTTATTTAGCCAGTCTGCCTGTGAACGTCGATTTCGTCACTATTCTTGCCCTGGACTAGCACCGTAATCACAAAGTCACTAAACGCTTGTACTTGATTCAGAGACACTGCATTCGGTGCAGAACGTAGTTTTCTTCCTGCTCTGGACAGTGACAATAAATTTGAGGGATGTATTTTCACCCACAAAATTGTATTTAATTACAATTGTATTTGAAATACCCACGTTTTAGTATTTAAATACACACGTCAAATACATTACCCAATTTGTAATTAAATACAAATGCAAAATACACAAAGTATTTGAAATACATATTTCAAATACTTGTACTTGAAATACTGCCCATCCTTGTCTCTACTCTTGTCCTAAGAGATAGCAAGAACTTGGTTGTAAGCAAGCCCAAGTTTGTGAACCGGCTTTAAAGGGAGACTGAGATTGTCTGTTTATGGCGATAACTCAATCTACGGGCTCTAAGCATCTAGGAAACCCAAAGCTACACTCATGGGGAACCAATCTTCCTATTAAAAATCCGATCGAAGATCGTGGCACACACTCAAAACGCCGTCGTACGGCGTTTTGAAACAATAATTCCTGAATTGCATCGTCTACACCCAAAGATTTGACGCTTTTGTAAAAATGTAACGTGCAACTTGCCCACAAAGGGCAATAATAGTAACGCTCGGTATCTCCACTCAATTAACTATTTTCGTTGGTCAAACTTTATGGAGGTGATAAAAACCCAAGGATGGCCCCCCTCCCCCCCTTCCCCCTGAGAAAAAGTAGTGCCGGCGGATTTCTATCGCTGCGAGTTTACTACGACGTCTTGCCGTCTAGAACTGGTCATTTTTATTGACCAAAGTCCAACAAACAATATGCCATCAAAAACGAGCTGCTACAAAAAGCATTTAAAGGACACATGCAAAGGAAAAGAAAATTTTTTTAAACAGACTGGTTGGGAAATGGAAGTTATAAAACGAATTTACAAAGAAAAAGAAAACTTTTTAGAGCTATATTTACGGTATGATTAGGGCTCCGTGTTTTCGGATAAATCCGAAAAGCTCCGAAAAACACCCGCCGGTTAAAATTTTTGGCAATTCGGATTTATCCGATAAACTCCGAATTGTTATGTGCCCATGCCACCCCCTCCCCCAAACAACACATTTTTTTTTTTTTATTGATTTTTATTTTTTGGCAGCGCAGGCTCAATGGTCCTGGGAAAATGACACTACAATTATCTTTCAAGGCTCGGACTGTTGTCAAAAGGGGGTCTTACGGCTTGTCTCATCAAGGTTGGTTCGGCGAAACAGGTCATTGTACCATTCGTGTAACGACAAAAGCCACTCTTTTGGTTTCCAGTTTGGGCCATGGGATTTGGGATTTATAGAAAGGAGGGTGTATGTTTAGGGGGGTAACAGTGAAAGCTATGCACCATAGAGATTGTATAAAATAGGGAAGAGGGGCAGTTGAAACTTCTCTATTACATCCACCTCGCGCGGCAGCGGGATAGTTTGATGGGATGACTACGAGCTTCCTTGCGGCTATCTCCGGCAGTGTGTTGATTTTAAAGTATCGACGTTTATCGAAGCCACATTTGTGTACGACTTTTGTCGTGGGACAAATTAGTATTGCCAATGACACCAACGTCAAATTCAATTGATACAAGCCCGTTTATTTTTACCTGGCATACGTTTGCATCCGGTTATTATTTATTATTTTTAATAGGAAACACTGCGAAATTAATCTCTGAATTTTGGAGAATTGGGGATATTTGAAAAATAAACTTCGATAAACACCGAATTTTCGCTAAAAAATAAACTCCGAAAAACACCCTCCGAATTTCACGAAAAATAAACTCCGAAAACACGGAGCCCTAGGTATGATACAAACTTGTATGGTTGGTGCCTGCGGGCATTATGAAAAAGTGACCGCTTTTCATCACGCGACTGGGTGCTATTTGTCACGTGGTGCTTCTGCTCTTTCGCAAGCTTCCTATGGTCTCCAAAAAGTTACCTCTTCATCTTTGTTTGAAGTGCAACAAAAAAACAAAGATTAATAAGTAATTTTTAGAACCCAAAGGAAGCTCTTGAAAAAGCGCAAGCAGACGTGATAGACTTGCGTGCCGGTCAGATGACGGCAGCGGTGGGAGAAACGCGTTGAACCGGTGGCGCACCAAGCTCGGCGTGCGGCACAGCACGATGGTGCACAGGTCTACCATGTGACCTGCGGCGGCTGCCGCAGGTGCCAACCATAAATTCGTTTCGCGCCGTAAATATAGCTCGAAAAGTTTTTTCTTCGTCGTAAATTTGTTTTATAACATTCTTTTTCCATCTAGGCTGTTTGAAAAAACATTTTTTTCCTTTGCACGTGTCTTTTAAGGCGGGCACTTAGTGGCTCCAGGGAATTCGTTGCGAGACTCGGGTTAAGGGAGTGTCGTTTCCGACGCCTTCGGTCGTAAGGTGTCCACGGAGTGTTGATGGCGTGGGCTACCCTCTCAGGCATGGGGGACAGCCAGTGCCCCGAGAGTGGCGACCCCATGGGGGCGCTAACCACGCCTCCTCTGGAGGCCTCGTCTCCGCCGGAGGGCCAGCTGAACCACGTGGGCTGGCTGGCGGAGCACATCGGCAGCCTCCTGCTCCAGCCCGAGTACTCGGACGTCACGCTGGTGGTGGGAGGAGCCCGTCTGCCCGCACACCGCCTCATCCTCGCCTCCTGCAGCAGCTACTTCAGGTGGGCGCTCGTTCGCTCATTCGATAGGTTTGGTCGAGATAAACTGAAAACCGGTTTTTGGGCCAGCGTAAATGAACTAGGCGTCGCGGAATGCTGAAACGCCGTAAAAATGTTGACGTTAGCCATGGGGAGGAAATGTGAAGGTTTGACCACGTGACCCTATCGGATCAAAATATGCCAAAGAAACACAAAATTTCTTCATGGGCCAGCATCCATGTAAGCCTAACGTTCCTCAAACCGAAATTTCAGGTTGTGGTCACCTTCAACATTTATTTCAGTAGAACAAAAAAATGATCAATACATAAGACATAATTGTTTCCTTTCTCGCTGACATATTTTACTGAAATAAATGCTACAGGCGCTTACATTCTCAAAGTTTGGTTTAGAGATTATTAGGCTAAGATGAACGTCGGCTAACAGAGGAATTTTGTTTTTCTATTGTATCCTTTGATCCAGGTAATGTCGTGCACTGAAACTTTCAAATTTTATCAATCCCGCCAGCGTTGCATTCTCACGGAGTTTCAGCTCACTGCGATGCGCAGTTTCCCGATGCGGTTCAAAAGCCAGGTTTAATTTTCTCGTTCGATCCCCTAAGTTTATTTCACTTCTGGTTGGCATTCCAAACGTTCAGGACGTAAAGAAAGGCACAAAAAAGGCCATGCTCTCTGTGTACCCTCATCGCTTACCTGGTGGCAGGGCATAATGTAGATATGAGTGTGTGTTTGTGGGGGGGAGGAGGTTGTAACTTGTAGTTGGTGGTGGATTTTACGCAAACGTTACTATTTGCCATCTCAGCTTATGATATGCCGCCGTGCACAGTGTGAACTGAAACCCCTGATCCGACCTTTTTCTGCACCCACGGTGTCCAAAAGCAATAGTATTTTTCAATTTGTCAAATAGTCCAAGGTATGGAACCTCAACTTTGCATTTCATTCCTTGTTCGGATCACAGTTCTTTCAAAGGCTAGCAGGCGCGCGAAAAGAGCACGAGGAGCTGTTTCTACTCATGTTGTCCGCAATAGTATTACCACGGCATACGCTGCGTGCCACTGAAGCCAACCTATTGTTCGGAGCGTGTCACATGACCTTCCGGCTGGGCAAAGTGAGGCACAGATGAAAAACTAAAAGAAGCAAATGAGACATTCATGTTGAGACAGTGTGAGGTCTTTGAGGTATGGCAACACTGTTCATGCTGTAAATGCTGTAAACTGTAAATGCTGTAAACTGTAAATACTGTTAACCGCTAGCCTGTATTTTTTATTGTGTTTCACGGAGTAGTCGTGCACCACAGCACGACGGTGAAATGCTCATCCAGATCGAAAAAGGCAGGGGTGGGGATGGAAGCCAGGGTCCCTCGGTTTTGCTTATTATTTTTTTTGTTTAAATGTGTGCGCCCTAAACATTTATGATCACAATGATTTTTTTTTTGGTGAATGTGTTATTGCAATGTATTGTGAAGTTTACTTTTCTTCCCGCCTTTTTTTTTTGTTTTTGTTTTTATCTACTGTGAATACTTTAGCACGATGCTGCATAGTTGCCAATATTAAGGGTCTGTGGACTCGTCAAGCTGCAATGGTGTAGCTTTTTTCCACAGCTCCTTCATCTTTGTACAAGGTGAAAAAATAAACTGATTTGATTTGATTTGCTGAAACGTAGACCATAAAGTCGCATGACACATTTAGAGCACTGTATTGGCTGAGATGGCTCGTGGCATTCGTCGTAGTACATGGTAAACGTAACACGGAGAATAGGGATATTGCCAACCTGCTGTGGTTTGAGTTAGACCAGGTATGACTTCGAATATTTAACATGAAATTCAACAGAAATTAGACTGTTTCACATTACATGAAAATACCATGCATGGGAATTTGCTGAAGCCACCTAGTTGAAGAAGGGTGCAGTGTCACATTAACAAACAGAATTGCTCATTTAAATTTTATATTTTGTAAACATTCTTATTATCTTTTAAATTTAAAGCAAACTACCTAATGGGTCCATTGTTTTTTTTCGGAGCTTGGCGTTCCGACGTCACAGCGAACCCTGCGCAAGAAGTGGACGGACTTGTTCTCTGTGTAGGAAATCAACTGGTGCTTTGTTTGGTCTATGACACGGTGCCTAGGACGGGTCCTTGACCGGCGCATTTACCATCCTATTCCGTCCACGCATCGAAACGGGTCCCAAAGGGGCAGCAGATTACGTCGTAGGAGCCAGCGTGTCCTGCCATCTAATGTCGCAATCCAGTAGGTGGTCGCAGAAATGCCGGTAATAAAGGCGAGCAGACGCAAGCGTTATTGTCGTCAGGGCGCTCCATCTTGCGTCTGCTTTGGTTTCCGTCGTTGCCGTGCTGTGCCACCGCTGCCGTGCCATTGCCAGGATCGTGGCGGTCGACAGTGTGACAGATCTTCGACGTCGTCGGGCAGAAAACGAGAGACCACTTTTGAGAATGCGGTAAACACTGCAGTCTGAGAAATGCACCAGGCACCATCGTCTATGGCTCATGAATGCCTCGACCTTTAAGGAACTCTTACCTGGCTTAGCCGAAAGCCGAGGCACCCCTCCTTGTCCCTGCATCGATGCAGTAAAGCAGTGCAGAAACCCATTTGCCTTGTTAACAATAATGCGCATACTACGGAGCATTTGGGTCACGGATGCGCATCAGTGGAGGGCTCACATCTGGTAAGACGTTGCTTAATCTTGAAAAAACACATTACTTTGAGCAGGGGGGGTCGAGAAAATTAGCAATCTCTGAGACCCACAAGGGCGTTCGGGGGAACTTTTAGGTTCTTAGGAATTCGCTTTGAGAACCCATGGTCTACAGCTATGGTGGTTATGCGGGTCTTTTGAGAGCTTTTTTTTGTAAGGGGAAGCTGCGTACCGAGTTATGGGCTTGAGTTGAGACTCCTACTTGTGTACAGACTGTTGTGTTTCTCTGGGGGCTCTGCAGGGCTCTGCTGTATGGGGGCATGCGGGAATCTCAAGAGGAGGAGGTGGTGCTTCGGGACACTCCCCGAGAGGCCTTCGAGCTGCTGCTGCGCTACATCTACACGGGGCAGCTGCAGCTGTCCGGGCTCAAGGTGAGGACGGCCGGGCAGCCGCGTGCGCCCCGCTCGTGCTTCTCTGGTTCGCTCGCAGGATGACTGTACCAAAGTCTTGCAGAGGAAGGTTTGTTGACGGGTCTTAGGAAACGGACCTTCCTGAAATATCACGTGGGGCCTCTAGGTGACCCTACATCGCATTGCGTGGTGCGAGGAATGGTGGGGCCTTGTCGACGTAGGCTCGAGCCAACTCGTACGCTGCGTGCATCCTCCAAGTGCTGCGGTCGCATCTCTCTTACCACTGCAAATTCAGGACACAAAGAAAACAAAAAGAATGCGCAACAAAGCCATTACAAACCCTGCTTTGTCATTGTCCGGCCCTCAAAGCGTTAGAAAATGGCAAAAAAACGGGCATTGGGCGTCGGATGAAAGAAGACTAAAGTTGACGAGCAACTTTACAATGTTACCGCTTTTCAGCGAAATAAACATACCTAGCCTATCCTCGGCTTTCTTTCTCCCATCTTTTGTCGATCCCTTCCTTATTCTTCCTCTCAAAGCCATCGATGTCGGCACTTTTGATTTGTTGGTTTCTGCTCCCGTCTTTACAGGGCGATAACGATGGGAGCAGAACGCGGCAAATCGTAAGCACCGATATCAGTGGTCCCTAGAGAAAGAATACAACAAAGAAAGCGAAGGGACAGCGGAGAGAAAAAAGTGGACGATAGGTTAGGCGTGTTCGTTTTGCTGGGGCGAGTTCAAGTTGTTTGAGTGCCCGTCAACTTTCTTTTTCTTTATACAATGCGCAATGCAGGTGTTTTTTCACAAAATAATGCTAGAAGAACACTAGAAAGATATTTTTTCAAGTGATGTTTTTTGCCTCTTTGTGTATATCAAAGCATCGCCAGCAATATGGTCCCACTGGACCATCGAAGCTCGCGTTTACCCTGCATTTTGAAGCGGCCAAAATGCATGGGGTCCTTTCCCCTAGATTGTTGTGTTAACTCTGTGCGTCTTTTTCTCAACCGGGGCAGGAGGACGTGGTGCTGGAGGTGCTTGAGCTGAGCCACCTCTACGGCTTCCTGGAACTGGAGGCCGGGGTGTCCCGCTTCCTGGAGCAGGTGCTCGGGGTGCGCAACGTGTGCCGCATCTACGACCGTGCCTGCCTCTACCAGCTGGGGGCCCTGGCACAGGCCTGCCGCCTCTTCGTCGACCGCCACGCCATGGCCATCCTCAACTCGGACTCCTTCCTCAACCTGTCCCCGGTGAGGGCCTTCCCTGCCTCCCGCTTGCTCCTTGCCCAGTTTGGGCAGTCGCATTCCCAGAAATATGTCCATCCGTCCGTCAGTGCATTTTCCGCTAAATCTAGCGAGAGACTAGACGTCATGTCACCTATCCAGCAATTCACGTTCCTCGCTGTAGTTATTGGAGAAATTGTTGTCTCGTGACCAATAAACCCTATCTATAAAAAATTACGCAAGGGGGAACTCTAGCATTTTGCATCCCCGCAATTGCTAGTCAATTGTGAGGGCAAGCAATCCACCCAGAACACCCTTTCTCGCAACATCCACGAAATATTTAATCACCAACTCTCCAGATGCTTAGCAAAAAGATCGGTGTGCGAGAGATTTGGGTGGAGATTTTTTTAATACTCCCGTACAACGACCGATCACTTCTTACGTGTTGAAGAGTGCAGCATAAGGACCTTGCTAAATCTCTAGCTTCTTTGATTCACTATAATCTGTTGCAACTCAAGAAGGTAGGGCGAGGGAAAAAAAGGTCGGGGAGGAAGCAGACAGAACGCTGGAGAGACGAGGAGGTTTCCCCCTTTCCTCTCCAACGTTCCGTCTGCTTCCTCCTCTTTGACCTTTCTATCCCTCGCCCTACCTTCTTGAGTTTCAACAGACTTTAGCACTCGTGCGTTCTTATAACATTGTGGCATCAACAAGCTCAGAAGGCATGCCGAAGCGGAGTGACTGGAAGTTGCTTGGGAGGCGGGTGCCGTGTTATGTTTGTAAAAATTAAAAAGGTCTATACACCAATTCCATTTTCCTGCCGTATTTAGCGGGGAAACTGATGTCACCTGGCCTATACATCAATTTAGTTTACCTGCCAAATTTCGTGGGGAGACTCCACTGCACCTCCCTTTCCCCTCCTAGAGCGCCCTCTTACAGTGTGACCCACACGAGCATGCTCCATCCCATTAGCCCCATCAAATGCTATTGCACATTCATCGCATTTGACGAAATGTCTAACCCAGCTAAAGGAATAAAAAAAAAAAAAGTGAAAGCCGTTGATAACTCCCTGTAACGCCGAATTAGAGCGCAGCTCTTGAGGAGGAGGAGCCAAGGCCACAAAGGTCACGTGACCCCATCCCTCCCCAAAATCACGTGGGGGTCACGTGACCTCGGGGGGAGGGGGGGGGGGTCATGTGACCTGGGGGTGTCACGTAATCTCGGGGGTCACGTGATTCCCCAGGTCACGTGACCCCCCAGAGAAATTTTTCCGCTAGATTTAGCGGGAAAATTTTTCCGCTAGCTTTAGCAGGGAAATTTTTCCGCTAGCTTTAGCAGGGAAATTTTTCCGCTAGATTTATTGGGGAAATTTTTCCGCTAGATTTAGCGGTAAAATATTTCCGCTAGATTTATCGGGGAAATTTTTCCGCTAGATTTAGCGGGAAAATTCTTCCGCTAGATTTAGCGGGAAAATTTTTTTGCTAGATTTAGTGGCGAAATTTTTCCGCGCTAGATTTAGCGGGGAAATTTACCCATGATGCATCGTGCTGTTACGCCGACGGCGACGGCGACGCCGCTCAAGCCGATAACGGACGCCTAAGAGCTGCGTTCTAAAACTTAAATCCCCCTTGTGTATAGCCCTGTTAGGCACTCTCTGCAGGATGCAGCGGTGTGTGCAGTCATTCACCTGTGCTCCTTGCACATGCACAAACAGTTTGATTGTATTTCGATACTTTTTAACGTGAACATTTCCTCACAAACAAATTACCAGACAATTTAGAAATCTTGGGAACTTCCTCGTAGCGATAAGATGTACGGATAGGCCTGTTGGTGCATTGTTACAAAGTACGAGAGTGCAGAAAGACACAGAACAAGATATCACCACACTCATTTCTGTGGCAGATTCGTTTTTTGCTTATGTTTATTGCATTTCATGCTGCACTGCCGTTGAGGTACAATAAGGGAACTCAATCCTGTTGGAGGCACGGCTCAGTATGGTCCACCAAATGTACGCAGTCTGGAAGTCCAGGACATCCTCTTTTAGAGGGGCAGTGCAATGATTTTATTCAGTCGGAAGACATTGCAGCCTTTACTTTTTATGCTGTTTACCTCGGCACAAGCGGGGGAAAATGCACCATCTTCCCTGAAACACTGCGATTCCTACGCATAATTGTGAAGGGAAAGACATTATTTGCCAATTCGCTGCTGTGCGTGGCATCTATGGAAACCGCACGGGCTCTCGCGGATCAAACATGAGTCCCGTCCAATGCTGACGCAGCATTCGTGTCTGATCCCACGCAGACCTCCGGTGGAGGGCATGGAAAATCTAGCCTCCTTACCTAGGAGGTGTCGCTTCGAGACGAGTCTTTCTCGGCTCAGTCCCGCGATTGGTCGGGACGTGTAGGTATCATCGCCTGTCCGATCGGACGCAGGTGGTGTTGCGGGAGATGATCGGCCGGGACTCGTTCTTTGCGCCCGAGGTGGACATCTTCCGCGCCGTCTGTTCCTGGGCCGCCCACAACCCAAGCTCGGACCCTAAGCCCATCCTGGAAATGGTGAGTGCGTCGCAACGAGGCACCAGGTCTGCCCACACCACGTTAGTCTCCATCTGCAACGGCACCGCCGGTCTGAATACGGTCCGAGGTGCGTAGATCAAGGAGTGTTTTAAACTGCTTGGTTGGGGTCAAACACTGCTTGGGTTGCGTGCGCAGTGCAAGCCGTGAGGAGGTGATGAAAGTGTTGATCGTTTTTTAACGTTTCCAAGATTTGCTCGACCTCTCATCGCTGCACAGCATTTTCCCATCCCCCCATGACTAATGCATGCACACGTGTGTCCAATCTGCATGGGAGGCATGTACTATTAAATTGAAGATGCTCTCCATGCATTCAGTTGCTTTCCCTCTGAAATCTAGGCTTTCTGTACAGTCTTTTATTACCAACCGTGTAGGACTGGCGGAAACTTTTGTTCTGCACTTGGGGTACACATGAAGGGGAATGTGCATTCCTTTACCACTTTATGTACTCTCAGTGTCATAAAACAGTGGAGTGTGAGCTTTGCGAACAAAGCTTGACAAGGCATGAGGTAAGGTACGGAAGCTGCTTTGTGATGCTGCCAGTACAGACCTGTCAAATATAGCGAGTTCACCTTCCTGTTGATTAGAATTGTACAACCATTTTATTGTAGGAGCTAAAGGAACACTGCACTTCCAAGGAGATTTTGTTAGATAGCCTCAACAGGACTCATATTTCACAAAATGCATTTTTTCTGCGAAAAAAAAGGAATGCAGCATTAATGTTTACATGCAATTTAAACGACCATTCTCCAGCCAGCTTTTTCCTTGCATCTTTTCTCGTGCACGGAAGACAAAGGTGCGGGGTGAGGACGTGGTGGGCGGCATGCCTCTGCTTCACATCCACTTCGGCCAATGTGAGACTCACGAAATGGCTGCTATTTTGATGTTACCATGACGTTGGCCTCCAAATAGAAGTAACTTCCGAGTTGATCCGTTGAACACCCGGTTATATGGCGGTAAGTATCAAGAAAAACTTGCATGTTAGAATGCTCATTCCTGTCGAGGACCAACATCAATATGAGAAGCGTGCAATAAGACGACGGCACCACGTATGGCTCCTAGTAGAACCATTTTGTGTGCGTATCCGTGTGTCGGCCAACAGACGGCGAGCATTGCATAAGTCAGTTTCTAATCAATGTCAACTTACCTGAAAATGTTTGGGGGCCACAGTCGGCACTAACTTCTTTTACGCTAGAGATGGGAAATTGAGAACACGAATCTCCTCCACGCATCGGCAAAAACAGCCGCAATAGTCTAATTTCTGGTAGGCTTACTCGATACGTCAGCGAGCGAAGAGCAAATAAAATTATGAGTGAAAAATGCTCATGTTGATATTATCAATCACTGGCCCGGTCAATGTCATCCAGTAGTAATTTTTGGATCATTCGTAGCACAAAAAATATTCCGAGAATATCTAAGCACTTCTTATGAGTTGTGAATGCGAAAGCACGAATGTCATTCTTCTGCTCCCTTAGTTCTTCTGCAGTGTGCTGGCAAGGATGGCCACATTTCTGTGCTGCCGAGATTGCAGCCGTCGACGATATAGATGCCTTGGGCGCCGCCATGTTCATCGGCGCCGAGAGGGGCAGAAGCAGCCGCAGCCCCCACCCCTCCGGCAACGCCTGACACGAGAGCGGCGGCCGAGCACGCGCTCTATAGCTATCTAGGAGCCGTTTCAGGGGGATCGGTGACCGAGTGGCCTAGCGCACACCAGCTCGGAGCACGTGGAGCGAAAGCTCGCGCTGCAGAACCCAGGGATCCTGGGTTCGAGCCCCACCCCTGTCCGTTTCAATCTGGATGAGCATCGTACCGGCGTGCGGTCGTGTATCACTACTGCGTGGTGCACGTTAAAGACCCCAGGCTAGCGGCTGTACCGCACTGGCTAAATTGCTCATCTACAGCTGGGAGACTCGTCGCCCCTGTGAGGCAGACCAAGTTCTAGGCTGTATAAACATACCACACAACCCAATTTTAGGAGCCGTTTCGCTCAGCCAATGGGAGAATGGGCATTCCTTGCGCGTTTTTTTGTGGTTACAGACGCCGTCGGCTCCGCTCCATGGGATAAGTAATGCTTTCGCATTAAAAGGAAATACGCGGGGGGGTGTTGAGGGTGTCGAACCGAAATTTTTATCGGTTCGGTTCGGGTTCGGGTTCACGGCTTTCGGTTCGGTTCCGGTTCAGTTCCGGGGAGCAAAAATAATGGTTCAAACCGGTTCGAACCGGTTCAAACTGGTTTGGACCACTGAATTGAGAATATATTTTCCGTGTTGTTCTGGCAATATACACTCTTTACGTCGTGAAGCGATTAACTAATAGTTTCTTCGCTCGTCTGTGCAATTTACTTTTGTTTTTAAGGACCAAAAATATTAATTTCAGTTATTTAATTTCCACGCAAGAGTAGAAGAAAATCTACATTAACATACATGACGTCGTGTTTATACATCCCTTTGTTTACGAGTAAAATATATTTTACCTGAATCGAAATGTTTAAGTACAAGAGTAAAAGGTTGAGCTTGTTGGTACATACCTGCAAATAGATTAGCTTCTAATTTAGAACTATACTATATTTTCTTGTCATTTCTTTGTGTTTAAAAAAAAATCCTAAAATTCAAGCTAATCTATTTACACGGTATAAAATGTGGTCGCGAAGTGTGGTAGGTCGTCTAATATACCCGTGATTGGTACAACTGAAATCGTGTCCTTGAACTAAGGAATTATTTACATCACATAAAATTATGAAATGAGCACCTCGGTAGCCATATATTCGCGACTCCAGCAAAACGGACGCCACCAAGCGGGAAAACCGGGGACCAGCCGGTCCAGGTCGCTCTGCGCCCCTCCGCGTCTCTGCAGTGGTGGCTTTCGCGGAGACGTGTAGTCGGCGCGGTGGCGAACAATGTAATTTGACGAAGGTCTGATTATTTCTTAAGTTTGCCTGAGTGGTCATTAGTGTGGTGAAGCCTCAATAGATTGTTTACTTCTATTACGTGTTTGAAAGCCCGTTTACTTCACAGCGCACGGTCGCGTGCTTTCGATTTGGGTGGGGAGGAATCACGGAAAAATGTTTTGATTTCTTGTCTGTCTTGAATCGCATTCAAAGTGACGACTACTTGGTAACTGATAAGTGGTTTCTTTATAAGGATGTAGAATAGTGGACTGAGGACGACAGACGAGGCATTTCACTGGAGGTAACATCAATGTTGCAGTCAAGTGAATGGGAAGGTTCGATAGCTGCTTTTCTTGAGTTTGGTTGTGTTCGGTAAGCTTCAAGTTGAAGCCACCCACGCCGGTCGGTGCGTTGGCTATTTATCTTGGCTGCTTTTTGCCGAAAAAGCCTCTGGACCACACTGAAGGAGTTGGGCTGATTTCGCAATCACTTGATTCTGGAAAGCCTGCTCGCTGCAAATGACGAATGAGGGAAATTATCTGTTTTCAAAAGGTGGGGGACGAGTCTCGCAACGTTAGATGTTGTCACGACATTTTGACCTATCGCGCCTCCAATATTTACATTACGAGGACGTCGAAGCCAGCAGCAATATACGTCTACATTGGTCAAATTGACCGGCCACAAAAAATACTAATTTTCTCCATTCAGGATTCGAAGCAAAGTTCAATGCAGAGAGGTTCTGCGCGAATGTTCGATGAAGACACTCTTCAGTTTGTCTCCGTGCTGCCGGCTATAGAACCATTTGGCTAAGTTTAAGTAGTACCTCTCTCTCTGTCAAATATACTTTTATTCGGCTGTTCACCTAATATCTAGTCAACTAAGCTCATATTTTAACCCGAAGAATATACTAATATCGCCTTAGTGGTACATAGTACGTAATATAATACACAACCCGCTCGTCGAAATGACTTCTCGATTCCTACTAAAACCTGAATTGAAATACGAGTATCAGCTGCTTAGTGGGGCGTCAGCGGGTTAACATGGTCCTTGGCTCAAGAAGCGCTTGCTTAATTTTTGTAATTTTCCTGCAGCCTGTGTTGTTGACCGAGCAGACGACTCGAGCCGTTTCTTAAACGCGGATACGCACAAAAGCTCGATTTCGCGGACAGATAAGTCGCATGGTCGAGGCATCCGAGTTAGCTGAAAAGTTACTCTCTGTGGAACAATTTTGTAGTCATCGCCGCTTTCCTTAGATGATCAAAACTGATTAGTATATTACCGCCTCTCCGGAGCCTTTAGTTTCGGTTTTGAACGAAATCTCCGAAACGAGAGTTTGACATGAAAAGAACAAAAAGCACCGGCAAAACAAAACTATGCTTTGCAAGTTTATGTGCACCGGCTACACTTAACCGTCTGAGTTCAAATACCTATAAAATTGGGCATTAAACAAAAGAAAATCTGTGAAATTCAACGCGCCACCTGTTCAGGCGGCCCGGCCGAGCCGACGCGACCTGGACTCAGCCGCCATGTTTGTTTGGTGGTGGCGCCCCCTATAGGTCGCTGGAGTCGCGAATATCATAAAATAAGGTTTACGAAATACACTTCACAATATATATGTACAGTCGAACCTCGATATAACGAACTTCAATGTAACGAAATCCTCGATTTAACGAAGTATTTTATTTTTCATAATTTCTTGCCCATAGACCCCATGTATTTTTAGTCCCTATATAACGAAGTCTATTTTGCTGCTATTTCAATATAACGAAGCGCCATTGCCATAGAATGCAATAAATAAATCAACTCTAAAAAACAACTTCGCAAAAAAATTGTGGTTAAAAAAAAAAAATTATGCGCAAACGCGAGCGCTTGATAGGTTACTTCACGGGGACAGGCCTTCCAACGTTCCTAGGCTGCCCGAGGATGCGGCGCCGGTAGCGCCGGCGAGGCATGCGGCAAAGCGGATTCCGCGAGGCTGGCCAGAAAATGCCGGGCAAAAAGTTAACACGGCATAACAGCATCACCACTGACATTCACTGATCATCATAGTCCACTGTAGCGCGGGAGCCAACTTCAGCGGGAGAGCGACGTGATG